ATCGCTTAGGCGGTTACAGCGCCAATTAAGAAGAAGAAGAAGAAGAATGATATCGGCATTTAAATTTACAGCTGGTTGTCCGAGCTTCCATTACATTCGAACCTAAAAGTTCAGCACTCTTCGCTCAGAGGCCTCTGCGGTTATCTCCTTTGATATGGTTAGGTATACATATGTATGTAATGAATAAAAATTTACTGATAGACAACTAAATTTTTTGTAATTTCAAATAAACAAGCTAAAACTTCAAAAGCTTTAGTCATTTCCTCGGTCAGTGTTTTACATGATTCAGCTCATAACAGCTGTGCAAACACGCTCTCAGCAAGCAAACCGCTTTGCTACAATTCATTCTGCCATTTAATCCTTCACCATGACTGCTTGAAATCGGAAACCACAAAACATGAAACAAAACAAAGCATGCAAATATGTAGTTGGTTTCGTAATAGCAATTCCCTTATCCTTTTTCATTTGTGTAGTTTGTAAAAAATGCGATTACGACGATAATACATGAACATACGAAGCATACATAAGCATGTTAATACATGGCATTACTCATTAATAATGATTAACATGCAAAAGCATTAAAGTTGGCTCCTATTTTAATTCAGTTAGAGTACGAGTTTGCATACATACATACATAAGTACAAGCCTGCTCACAAGCAAAATGTAACAGCAAATAAATAATTAACTGTCCACGCCAAATTAGTCATTCTCTGCCGTTGACACTCCCATATAGAGGTGCTTGAAAACACTGGACTTAGCTGGAGCATACCCAGGTTGAAGTACTTCCGCTTCCTTGATGGTAAACTTCCTTCTGAAAATCCGCAACTTTTAAACATTTCGAAAACCAGTAGTTCTATACTTATGAACTTGCTTTATGGCTGAACAAAGTGATTCGCCTTACAGAGAGTTTGCGTGCTATTAGTCGGCCATTTCCCCCATTTTGCGACAAGTACTATTTTATTTACCGCCGTATCAGGAAAAATCTGCTCACGTCTTGTTAATTCTTATTCAGCCATAAGCGAATTTATTATTTTTCACTACCAATTTTTCCCCCTTCTAAGGCAAGGCATGTATGTACATACACATACCCGTATAAAGCACGCTACCTTGGGTAAAGTTCCAGACAAATCGCTTTGCTCTCTGACGCTTTTCGCACACGCTCAATTAACCTCTACCGGACATGATGCCGTCGCCTTCTTTCAAATTAGCACAATTTCTTTGTCGTTGGAAGCTGACAGTCAACTTGCCAATTCGCAAACACTCATCCTGTATGCAGATTTCGTCAAAGGAGAGCACACTAATGTGTTGGTTCAGTTGTCCGTGTTGTCTTTCAAAATAGACAAAAAAAGAAAACTATCATAAGCGCAGAGTGTCACCAAGCGCGTGACTGACAAAGTTTACAAACTCATTTCCTTTCTGCACCTTTCTCAAACTCTAACACCCTCAACATTCTCCCTCCTCTCAAGTGTGTATATATATGCATTGCGAGTAAATGCATTGCCGTTGACCTAAATTCGGAAGTAAACAAGCGTGTGGTTGCTGAAAGCACTGCAAATATGTATCTCGCCATGTCCGAAGATAGGCGAATAACCTAGAATACAGGCAGCCCTCTATGCCCATTCATATGTACATACATACATACATAAATACCAAGTTATTTACTTATTTATTGTATGTATGTATGTACATGCAAAGTTGCACGAAAGCGCACTTATATGCCATAATAAGGCCTTATGAAAACTTTATTGTCCGATAACAATGGTCTCAACAATGTTCAGGACAATAAATAAATTAAGGATAGCCACAAAGGCGACAAGAAAAAAGCACCTATGTGTACATACATATTTAGTTGTGGCAGCGTCTGTGCTTTGCATTGCTTGGGGTATAGAGATGTTCGAGGAGTCGCTCTAAATTGCTTATTGTTCTCTAATAGACAGCTTAAATTTTATTTGTTTTAGTTTTCTTAACCGTCTTGAATAGATGAAGGCAAAATAATAGTTAGAACTAAATCACCAACAAACAGATCGTCAGAAATTTAAGGTGTTGCATTCACTCTATTAGCGAAGACTTGGAGAAACGGAATTAACATTATCTTAGTATCGTCTTTTGTTTTGCATTTGAAATATTACTCACCATTTCTGAATATTACCGAAAAGTTAGTGCGAGTGAACTACATAGTTCGAGTACGAGTTTATGTGCCAATCGAATTTTGCTCCCGAATAGTGTTACATTTCGATTGGAAAACCAAAATATTACGCGAATAATACTTAACCCTTGCCAACAGGTGCTAATTTTGACTCGACAGGCAATTGAACAGCAGAGAACTCTCTCGATGAAGAAGAACTACGCTCTACACATCTCTCTGTCATCCGTCATTTCATAAACGTGGACGAGGTCGCACAAAGATGAGAAGGTTTTGCTGGCTTTCGAGAAAACTACTCATTCTATGCAAGATCTATGGTTCTGTTTTTAGTGGAGACGGGTACCGAAGAAGATGGACTAACGAACTTTTCGAAGATAGTTAAGCGCATAAACATTCAACGAAATCATGGCAATGAAGGAAAGGTTATCCACTAACAAAATAGACGGATGGGCTGAACATTTGGCGCATCTTCGGAAAGGAGAGAAACATTTTATGAGATTTTTTTGTTCTCAGCCCAAACCGGCAAACGTTTTTAGGGCCAAAATTCCTTAGAATTTCAGTATTGTGCAAATCCTACTTTAGTAAAACATTTAAATTTCCGGAAACAAACCTTTTTGACTGTTGTCTAGCAATTCGCATTTAACATTTTGTACATAGTACATATGTATATGTTTAAGCCCGCAGAGGCTTCAGATGCTTGCCTTTCTATCCCCAATCGCAGGCGAGGCCTGTTCAAGTTTATTGGCACGCATTACTTGCCAACTACTTGAGTGAGCACATTGGTGCGCATTGTGGTGAGCAACCGCTTAACGCCTCAACAATTAGGTAGGTTGCAAGCGATCTGATCTGATTTCGTTGCGCTTCAACAGTGTTTTGCTTATATAAAATTAATTGATTTTTCGCACTGCTCGAAATATTCAACGGGAAATGTTTAGTACCACTCACACCGTTTTTTGGGTGGGGGGCGGAGGGGGAAGGGGCGGGGTCCCCAAAACACCCCCCAATAGAAAGGAGACAGTCGCCGCTTTCTAAAAAGGGGAACCCCTCCCTTGGACTCCTCCCACAGGCACCTAGGGAACCGTTTGAAAAAGGGGGAAAAACGGATTTTTCTTAGGCAAACTGAGCAGTTTGAAGTGGAATATGACCCAACTAACAGAAACCGTGGGATTTTTTAATAAAAGAAATTATGCCAAATTAGATATGGGGGGATTTTGAATAAAGAATAAAAAGTTAATTAAAAATAGAAAAAAAGTTTTTATAAAAAAAAATGTTCTTTTTAACAAATGTATTTTTGGGTAGAATTCCTTTCTACGTAAGCGGCCTTCGGCCGCACTTAGGGATTATAACCCTCAGGCAGTAGAATTCTCCTTTCTGTGTTGCCAAAGAAGGGGGGCTGAACACCTTTTGCAGAGAACACCTTTCTGCGTAGGCGGCCTTCGGCCGCACTTAGGGATTATAACCCTCAGGCAGTAGAATTCTCCTTTCTGTGTTGCCAAAGAAGGGGGCTGAACACCTTTTGCAGAGAACACCTTTCTGCGTAGGCGGCCTTCGGCCGCACTTAGGAATTATAACCCTCAGGCAGTAGAATTCTCCTTTCTGTTTTGCGAAGAAAAGGAGCTGAACACCTTTTGCAGAGAACACCTTTGTATATTTTTAATGCTTACTGGGTTATATCCTATCTTCTTTTGTCTCTCATTCTTTTGCATATTTTGGAGTTTGACAGCTGAACTCCGCCATTTAATTTGCATATGCAACCAAAGTCAGACGCGTGATTTTGAAGGTGTTTTTATTTAATGAATTGTGATGAATTGGTTAATATTAAACTCGTAAAGCAAGTTATAACAAATCAAGTAAAGTGTAAAGTGAAGGGGAATACAAAAATATATTGGTAAAGTGGCTAATTTAAGCAGAATAGGAGTGATAAATGTACGCTAATTTCCGAATTTTACAAAAAAGGGCATATTTCAAACCCAATTTGTAAATAAATTAGTAACCAAAATTTACAAAAGTGAGTGTTAAAATATTGCGTCGACCCTTGACTACAAGTGTGTGAAATTTTTTTTTGGATCGGGCCACCCATTTGGACGGAATAGCCCGAAATAGTTGTGAGCGGTACTAAACCCCACCCTATTCAACTGCCAACTACGTACACACATGCGTATGTATGTACGAGTAAGTAAGTGTCTGACATCGGCGCACACTGAGGTGTGCCAGCCAGCCACAATCTATGTACAGGGCGTATACGCACCGTCAGTTAGTGTTTACTCTTACATTTTAGCTTTGGTTTGATTTGTTTTCTTTTTTTTTGTTTTCGCAATGTTATTTTCTGCCGTCATTTTGGTGCTTAGCTTTCTGTCCTATTGTTTTTGTTATTGTTCGCGCTTATTAAGCCATTATTCAACCAATTTGGCTAGGTCGCTTTCGTCGTTGCCGGCTTCGATGATTCAGCCACAAAACTCGGCAGGTTGCTAGAAGTTCGCTAACTATTTAAGCAAGAGGGCTTGACACCAACACAATGGGGGCATTCATGCACCAGTGCATGCAGCTACAAAAGCGTCGAGTAAGCAACAATTATTTAGTGGTGTGTTTTAGCCACAGCAGTGACTCATCGCTGGCTGAATGATAGACTAATCTATTTATCATGCTTTTTGTTCTATCATGCTCGTTTAACTGACTCGAGTTAGTGACTGTCACTGAGTTGGTTGGTTGCAAGCATTTATCGTTTGCTGGTTGTTGGCGGGCATTTTGCTAAGTCTGTTTAATTAATTGTCGGTGCTTGGCGATTAGTGTTGCTAAGCTCTTTCCGTATTGTTGGTGTAAGTTTTGTTGCAATGAAGCTATTTAAAAGTATTTCATACGTGTATGTGTGTGTATATGTTTATGGAAAAAGTTGCGTTTATTGATTTTTTAATTGGCATTTATAGAATGAGTTAAAATAGTTTAACGGCCAGTCAATGATATATTTATTTTCAATGTCATCAATACCTACAAGTCAGAGGAATTGCGTGCTAAATTAAGGCTGAACTCAGTACAGCGCTTTAAAAAGTATATTAAAATAATTTTTGCACAAAATTTAAAATTTTATCTTCAATAAATATTATTTTTTCAATTGCAGGAAATATGAAGATCAATGCAAAAATGGCCACCCCTATCGAGGAAAAGGTTGATCAAAATTTAAAGGTAAGTTCTGTTCAGTATTTTTGTTTTTATTTATTATACACACAATTTATTTCATTTATTAATACCTAATAATTAGACTGCGGATGTTTATGGAAAATACGGAGCCTAGTGTATAAATTTGTATACATTTTGTTTAAAGTTAAGTGGTACATATTTTTAGGCTCCGCTGTCTGCATAAAAATCTGCAGTTTCCAAATAATTATCGGATCCCAGATTGGGGATATTGGCGGTAGCCAAATCACGCTTTCAATTCATATACGAATCAAATTTTATGTAGCTTGAATTACAAATGAAATTTAATTTCATCTTCGGCGACAAATTCCCATTGAAAATTAAATTTTTTTTATTTTGAACAAGCCAAAGACCTAAGTAGTAAAGTCAATTTGGGTACGCTGAATAAAGTGGTGATGGTCATTTTTCTAGGTTAGGTCATTTAATTGAGTAATATCAAATTCAAGTTTTTAGGCGGGACCGGTTTGTAAAATTTTACGATTTTCGACTGCTCTGAAAATTCGTATTCAAGATTTTTTTGTTGCGAGGAATCCGATTTTTGTTTTTTACAAAATAAAAACTTTCCTAAAAATTCCATCGCAATCGGAGAAAAAAATATGCCACTCATAAAAATGTTTCGGTTTTCAATAATCTCCATCTTTATAATCTTGTTGTAAGTTTCAACAAATAGCTCCTGATATGCTCTATCAAGCTTCTTTACACTATACAAATTTTAATGAAGGACCAAACATATTTTCCATGGATTGTTATAGGCTAAAAATAATTTCTATATATCAAGGGGTTTGGCACCTTCCATAGAAACTGAATTTTTCATGGGAGAGTACTGAAACTTGATATGGAGGTATCCGAAGTCATTCCCATGCTCTTGGAGCAAAGTGGCGGCTATTGGAAATGAGGGCGTGGCCTTTCCAATTCACTGAAATTGTTAAACATTTCATACACTCAGGAAAGCTTGTCAGGAAAAACTAGCAAAAGTTAAAATTTTAAAAGTTTCGAGAATCGGCTCTACATACGTAACTGGAAAGGCCCAGATCGATATCTGGTCAGGGGCTATCACTCCAGCTGATTCGCATAAACCTCTCTGCTTGGACGTATCATTGTTCTCATGAGAGATCAGACAATTGTAAGTCTAGTGATTAAACTGATATTAGGGCTATTTAAAATATTTCCATATATACATATTGCCTAGAAAAAGATAAACGTCGTGGTCGAGTGGTTAGAGTGGAAGAAGATGCTTGAAGCACAATTAGTATTTATTTATTGAAGGTATGTATATATACTATATATTTATGTAGTTTAGCCCTCGCTATGATCACAAAGTTGCCGCTTTCCTTCTCTCTACCTATTTATGTGTGTATGTCTTATCTGATTTCTACAATCTTAAGTTGAGAGTTTACACACATACATATGTAATTCCCAAATGCGTCTTTTGATTAGTAATGCGAATAGTGTTTACACTTTATTGTCATACAAATTTCTTCTTTTTTTTTGCAGATCCGTACTGGTATGGTAAATGTCAGCGATGGCAAAAGCAAACCAGAACCAGTTAGACTGAATTTAACTATGGAACTAGTAACCTTACAAAGATTAGAGGTAGTTACACCAACAAATCCCCAACACAATGGACCACCAATGGAGTCAAAGGTAAATGAAATTAATGCTGCCATTCCGCCCATTAAATTGCACTAAAATGAAAAAACTTTGCCAAGTTAACAATTATTTGGCAGGCGAAAGCACATCTTAAGTTAGCTTTAATAAAACAAATGAGAAGCGTTGTGCTTCTAACTTGAAACTAGTTTAATACTATTTCTAGCCAACTACTGCGAAAGTGCCCAGAGGGATTTATCATAGTAGATGTAGCTGAGTAGCTGAGCGCAATGCAAAATTTAATATTTCGTGCATCCACTCTAAACGTACCAACACACACACACACAAGATGTATGCATGTATGTATGTAGACATGCGTATTCATATTTCATGTAACTGTCTGCTGGAAAAACACTCAAAAGAGCTCAAAGATAACAGTGATATTAAATATAATTAAATATTCGATTGCATGTAGAACATGACAATGTCCTTGAGGGAAAACGAGTACAAACAAGTTTGACAAAGGCAACGGCATGCAACAAAGATAACTGAGGAAATGTGTTTTTTGTTGCAAATAGTAAAAATTAATGTATGCTCTCATGATTGCAAAACTAGTCGTAAATTCACATACTTCGCTTTTTTTTACAAATCAACTAAACCTTGACAATAAGCCATTTAAAGTGCATTTACGTAAGAAATAAATTTATGTCGATAGACAGTTAGAATATTAGTGTTTTAAAGCATATTTAAAACAAAAATTTAATTTGGTTAATGGATTTCATGTAGGTTCACTTTATTTTAAATTTTTTAGGTAATTTAGATTGAACACATCTACTTAATTATTTAAGAACGGTAAATTTTGCCACTACCGTATTTCCTTCGCTTTAAGTAGGGATAAAAACGACTTTAGCGTTACTTGGCATTTCTTAATATTTCATCCCTGCTTCTTCATTTTATTTGCCTATCCGGCTTTAGGAGCGCATGGTGCAGATTACCCGTCAAAAGCAAGGCGGCCTTGGTTTGAGCATAAAAGGCGGTGCCGAGCACAAATTGCCTATTTTAATATCGCGCATCTACAAGGACCAAGCGGCGGACATTACCGGCCAACTGTTTGTTGGCGATGCGATAATTAAGGTGAATGGCGAATACATCACAGCCTGTCCGCATGACGATGCGGTGAACATATTGCGCAATGCTGGCGATATAGTCGTACTGACGGTGAAGCATTACCGAGCGGCGACGCCATTCCTGCAGAAGCAACGTAAGTATGCATTACAATGATTTAAGACAAATTTGTTTAAGTTTACACAATACATACACTAAGGCTGCATTTCACCGGAGAATGAATCTAAGTGCAAATTATTTTAGTTTTCGGATTTTTTGTTTTCGCCAATCAATTTTAATTTGATTTTGGTTTTGATTTAAGTGGCCTATGCTGTTCACTTAAACAAAAATCAAATCAGAATAACCACACTGGGAGATGTTATATATATAATCAGCTGATCAATATACACAAACCACAGTATTGGGTATCAGCCATTTTTACCTGTATACCAGACCTGCTCTTACTATCACTTTTAACACGATGCTGCCATATTTTTACTTACTTAAAAAAAAGCTTATTGAATTAAATTAAAATAAATTTCCCCTTAAATGAATCTAGTGAAACGCAGCCTTATTCTCTCCCTTAAATAATTTGATACCCTCTTCTGTACACCCGTTTTCTTAATTTTATTTCATTTGAAAGTTAGTCTATATTTCAAAATCTTGTATATATAGGTGCATATGTAAGTGTGTATATTTTTATTTGGCTAAACCCTTCCACCTGCTTTTTGCTTTTAATTTTTTTCCGCTACTTCCCGCTTAATTTGTAATCGCTTTAACACATTTATTAAAAGGACGCTTAAAGACAATCAAAAGTTAAAGTATTTTTTTTTTAAGTTCATATTGCACTTAATTTTTTTTTTTAATTGTACTCATTACATTACAGCAAAAAAAAAAATATGCAGTTCATTATTTTGAAGGTTGCTGTTTTAAGTGAAGAAAAACTTGTGTTCATTAAGTTGGAAAGTTTCTTTCAAAAACAAAGTTCAGAGCAGAAGTGGCGCACAATTGGCACGCGTATGCCAATGTGCTTTTGAGTTAACACACACACAATTCATGCATGCGTACATACATATTTAAGTATATCTTTTAAAACATACATATATGTATGTGTGTTAATGCAAACATATGCGGTGGTATATATGTATGTACATACAAGCACATGAAGGTTTTAGAGCACTTACCCCCGGATTCTCACTTACACACTTACACATTTACATTTTAATTAAAATTAATTACGAACGATGTTACATACACAATTCATAAAAATAATCATGAAGTGCTAGCCTTTTTTCATCACTAACGACTGCTCGCTTACTACGAAGTACATACTCGTACATACATACATACATACATACCTAGTGAATAAATTCATAGAGCATTTCTTTTTTTTTTTCATTTTACACGCCCTTGTTTTTTGCGTTTGGGTGCTTTAAACTATCGACTCCTTTGAGTTTGTGTATATTAAGTTAAGTTACAAGTTTAATGCTCACACATTTATTCTTAAGTTTAAAAACTATATTTGAGCAGTGATTAGGCTCTTGGATAGTATGACGATGGCGATGTTATTTAAAGGATCGCTCCACCCTTAGATTATTTATGAGTGTTATATTCCAAATTTCATATGTATTCGATAGTCGTCCACGTTTACGAATAACACGTGGGCAATCCGATCCAGCCCGCAAAGTCTTCAGTTTATCTCCTCAGAGAGTCCCATCTTACCAAGATGGCATTGCAATGTTCGCGGCTAAGAATATAAGATAGTTTCCGTCATTTTTTAGAAATTTTAAAGCGCCTGGCGGAAGCTACCGCCGATGGAAAGTGTATTGCAATATCGAATATTGATTTTAAGAATACTCTGCAAAACATATATATATATAAAATTCGGCAATTCGATTTTAACATATCGATAACTTAAAGTGAGAAGTTCCTAAGTCCATTTTTACAAATTTTACAACAGAGGAATAAACTTCTTTTAACCACTTTTTCAAGTATTTCGCAAATGTTTAAATACAACATTTTGCGTGTTTAAAGCAAGGCTAAATTCCATACGACCAAAGAAGTATTCGTTCCTTTTTAAAAGATTTCGTATTATTTTTGTGCCTCTTATGGACTTGCAAATTTGCCTTTCATTGAATATATACGAGAAAAAAACAAGTACTTTAATCCTTTCAAAATCTCTTTATAGAGGCTCAGCTGTGTAACCCATTGATGGACCAATGAAAGACTTGGAGTCATCACGGCCTGATTTCCCGAGAATATCAGCTCTTTCTTTGCTCTCAAACCCTTAATGACCGAGGAGAACCCTAGGTTGTGCCTTGTTACATGTTCCCCAATTTTTTCAAGAAAGATTTTCAAATACCTACAGCCTATCCGTTTCCAAATTTTAAATTTCTGTTTTTTTCAGGAGTTACAAACTTATTTGAATATAAGGCAACTGAAAGCTTTAATTATGCTAGTAATATGTCATAAATAACTCGCCGAATTATATGTTAAACAACTAACCTCCAGGGTGCTACATACATCATCCTTAAACATTAAACACTCCTCAGACAAAACAAAAAGAAAGACGTAGTAAATTAAAGATTTTTTTCTTTGAATTTTATATAAACTTAAGCAAGTACAAAGAGCGCACATATCTTAATTGACTAAGTATATATGTATGTTAAGCCTATGCATACATATACGCACACAAAGCTTTCCACTTTCCACGAGTATTTTAAAAATTCTACAACTAGTAAGCCTCCGGGCAAAGGCCATACAACAACAGCAATCGAGGCGGCCTCACTCACTTCACCTTTTGGCCCACTTTTATAAACAAACACATATATACATATAGCTATACATATGTATTTATACCCTGCAAAAAATGTGACCAATCCGAGACATGCGACTAATACCACTTTGATATCTTTATATGGAATGAACTAATCGATTTTGTTCGAGCTTGTCCTATGAAGAGACTAATTGTTCCGCTTTATACCCGAACGGGTACAAAAAGCGACTGGTCACTTTTAAAAAATAAAAATAAAAATTTGCGTCAGCTGATATTAGAACCGGAGTACTCAGTTTCGTTAAGCGAATACTCTTTCTCTCTGTAGCCACGCCGCACAAGAAATTTTGTTGACTAAGTGCGTACATATCACTAAATCGTTAAAAGTACCCGTTAGAGATGAGTCGGGGACTAAGTTATCTCCAATTATACCCGTAAGGGATGGACTAATTGATCTCTGATTATACCCCGTATGAGACTAGTTGTGACTAATTAATGTCCAATTGTACCCGATTGGGAGTAATCTCGGAATACTCTCTTTTGAGATTAGTCGCAAAAATTTTTGCAGGGTATACATAAAAATACACACTCGTATGCTGGTAAAAACAAAAAAAAATGTGTGTTTATGTATGTGCTGCCTCGTTTGTGCTTGTTTGTTTCTTAAGTACATATACATATAAATAAGTAGTGTGTGTTTGGGCGTCTTAACTACTTGAAATTGTTTACAATGCTGTTTTAGGCGCCTTTAAGTTTTATATCCCTTGCGTCGTGTCGTTCATCTTTAAAGACAAAAAAAATTATTTTTTTTATTTTTCGTGTCCACTTCATGAAAAGTGCTGGGCAGACCAAATTTCGTGTAAACAAACTTAAAGTATTAAATTTTCATTAAGCACACAGGCATACATATATACGCATACATACCCCACCAAACAATTTGTGTTGCCGGCAATAAGAGAACGTGTCGCCCTCGGAAACAAATTTATTGCCGGTAATATTGCCATCGAATCGATTTCCTATTACCAGTCGCTCTAAAATGTCCGCCGAAGGCAACTCGCCTGGGCGAGTCGTTTTCTTATTGCCTGAATGAGTCTTTTTCTTATCGCTTCAGGCGATATTTGGAATAATTTTATTCTTTTTAATACTTCATTTACTTTTCTGTATACCAAATTGCAACTTACAATCGGAATTAATTCATTTTCTCGCTGTGAGGCTTCCTATTTTATCAATCTTGTCCTTGGGCATAATTTAGATGCTTTTGGCCAATACTATTGACGCCATATTCATAAGTTTCGGAATTTTTGAGAACTTTTTTATTCAAAATTGACATGAATGAAGTGATGTTGCCGATTTGTCACCACAGCAATAAATCGGTGAGTCGCCAATTTGTTGCCATTGACGATTGTTGCCTATTTCTCATGTTTTGCATGGTGGGTACGTGTGTATAGTTTGTATGTATGTATGTGTCCTACTCTGAAATGTGCACAAATTCAAGAAAATAATGTTAACGAGTACGAAAGCTGCTGGAACGATTTTGGTTCGTTTTCTACCTCCTTTTAAAAATCAAGCCCAAAAAAAAACTGTTGACACTAACAAAATATTTTCCCATTTTCGCTCGCAAATAAACTTTCATTTTCCAGTTTAACGCTTGCACACTTCTTCTTTAATGTTCACTTACTCGACCATACATACTGGCAATTGTATAAGCGTGTATCTATCTATGTATGTATGTATGTACATTAGGCTTACCAGCTTACACCAAAACAAAAAAAGTTTGCCTGAGTCTAGAGAATTTCGTAAGGCAGTTTCGATTTTTTTTTTGCCGAATATAGACACCGTCAATCGATAATCAAATTAGATTTTTTTGATAGGTCTACAAGAATAATCAAAATACTTCCTTAGAAAAAGTTTAATGATTGTTTTTGGTGACATTAGGGTGGTACGTTAGTGTGATAAGAGCTGAGAACTGGTGGGTAAGTACTAGAACGGGGTAAAAATAATTTACACTCAGGGCTGTGCGAAGAATTTTTTTCCGGTATGGTCTAATGTACATACGTACATCCATACATATGTTTTATGCTCATGTCAGCTTCTGCATATTTGGCTATTAAGAACGTGTGCAGAAATTAAGAACATTTTGCTCTTGAATGCAGTGGACAGCTTTCCGAGTAGAAAAGTGCAACGTATGTGCATTCCTAAGGCAAAAACTAACAAATTACAAGAGGTGGCCGTGCGAAAATTAAATCTTAAACTTAAGGAATTTATTTATTATGATCGAATATCAACTAAAGCTGCACATATGAAATGTTTATTTTAATGTACTAAATATGGTAAATTACAATATATTCGCGAACTTTTCTTAAGACCGCGCGCCACCGAAGTTGCTATGTAAAAAACTAGCCCATTGAATTTTAGTAGGTCAAAGTGCAAACTTCAAGACGCTAGAAAATCGCGTTGATTTTTAATAATTTTTTTTTTTGCGCCAAAATTATAATAATATTATGAATGCTTTTGCAGGCTGTTTCCTTTTTTCTAATAACTTTTCAAAGTACCCCTTGGAATGTGGGCTCAAATTTTCTTGTAGGGCTGTTATGCGCATCCTTGCAGTTGTATCTCGTGTTTTTCAACTGTCACATTACATTTACTCTCTCAACCGACAATTCACTTATTCCGCACAGGACAAAATCCGCACAAATGTCCTTACAAACAAAAACATGATAGTAACATGTGTACGTGTGTCTGTCCGGTGATTGTGTGATTTTCCCAGCACGCAAATACTTCAAAGTACATTTACATTACAAAGAGAGTTTCACATCCATGCAGACTTTGCTTTCTATTATGTTTTTTTTTTTTTTTTTAACTCCAAGTTTGCTTGCTTCACACTTTTTTTACCTTTTTCTCCTCCCCCCCCCCCCCCCTTTCACTTGCTGTTGACTTGCGTGTATTCTACTACTTTCACATACACTTACATAGATACATACATACATACATACATATGTACAAATAATTGCATACCTTAATGCACTCGTTGCTGGTGTTGCTCACATTGCAGTTGCCAAGGAGACGCCCGATTCGGACAATGATGCAACATGTGCGGAATTAAAGGCTGACGAAGGCTTCAAGTCCTCGGTAAATAATGGCACAATAAGTCGCAGCTGCAGTCGTCCGATGTCAATTTGCTCCGGCTCCGAACCGGAGAAGAAATGGGTAGAGGTGGTGGCAGGTATGTTCATGCACAAAAAATATTTATCCATACTTATACTAGTACGTACATGTCTGTCTATATGTCCACATGTTCGCTTTATTTATTCACATCAAATACTGTGGTATTCATTATTATATCGCATACGTGAGTGAATTAGTTAAAGAGTGCGTGCTTGCGCTGCCGTAAAAACACTCGCACGTGCATTAAATTATCTGCGTGCTGCGAGAAAAACTGCAATTTGCAGTTGGCACTCTCGGTCGGCAATTTGCAATTACGAACTCTTAATTATTTGCTCAGCTTTAATTGTGTTTGTAATTTGCTTTCATTGCGTTTTTAATTAAATTTGTTCTCTTCTTCTCTTCCATCTTTCGCACCTCTCAAATTTATTTTGTTGATATGCTGCGATACATCGCCGGGTCGGGTTACCTTTTGCTGCACTTGACATTTTCATTTACCGTTGCTACTCTGTAACAACGTCATCATCATCATGTGACTTGGGAATGAACTTCTTTGACGCCACAGTGCCGCTGATGATGGCCTACGTAACGCGATATATCTATGGCACGGATAAGTTACGCCCCAATGCGTTTGAAGTACGCGGCCTTAATGGCGCCTCGACTGGCATAATACACTGTGATGATTTGGCCATTCTCAGTCAATGGCTTAAATTGATAACCGATAATGTTGTTGGATTGACACATCTACAAGTGAGTATTACCGAAGTTGTTTAACATTGTTGTTGCTACGTGTAGTGCAAGTAGCAAGGTAATCAAAAGATTAAAATAAGCAAATTAGCTGACAGTTAGTTAAGTATGTGAAGTGAGGATAATCGTAATGTAAATTAACTAGCTGATTTTGCATCGTTAAAAGGCTACGTAAAAGGCAAAATGAAGCGTAGAAGAAATTATTGAGAAGGCTTGCTTCTGCACTAATTTTGGAAGAGTCTTTACTTACAACACTCTCGCTAATCCCTGATTATAAACTTTCGAAAAGCACTTTACGTCTCAAAACACAATTTTATATACATACATACATACATATTAGAGAACTGCATAAGCTGAATCGCTTCTGTTTTCAAGCTACTTTGCTTGTGGAGCACCATCCAATTCATAATAACCCACCGTGCAAAACATGAAAAATGGGCAACAATCGTCAATGGCAACAAATTGGCGACTCGCCGATTTATTGCCATGGTGAGAAATCGGCAACATCGTTCCTTTTATGTCAAAATTCCCACAAAACAGGCGAAGTTCGACTCAACAGGATTCTCCAAAGGTATCTAATATATGCCAAAGATAGGATTGCAAATCATAGGAAGCGCCATAGCGAGGGAAATAATTTATTCCGTTTTCGAATTCTAATTTTGTGTTCAAAAACAAATGTAAAATTTTATAAAAAAAATGAAATTTTTTCAACTAATTATTGTTCAAATATCGCCTGTGGCATTCACAAAACGACTATGCAGGTAATAAGAAAACGGCTCGCCCAGGCTAGTTGTCTTCGGCGGACGTATTAAAGCCACCGGTAATAAGAAAGCGATACGATGGCGATATTACCGGCAATAAATTTGTTCCCGAGGACGATAGGTTTTCTTATTGCCGGCAACAAAAATTTTCTGGTGGGAACATTCTTCTATGTGTAAAAGCCAAAGTCTCAATTGTTGTAATTGCATAAAGGAACAATGTCAGTTTTTTTTGTGAAAGTGTTATCCATAAAACGTGTGGAACTCCCATTGTGTGCACCAAATATATGGACATTTCATGGCAATACTTGGCTTCATTTAGGCGTAATTGGTATTCCAAACATCAGAACTAATCCAATATTAAAAAGTTAGAATCTGCGGACTTCGGAAAATTTTAAGGGAAAAAAGTAAAAGCAAATATCGAGTTGAAATATACAATAATGTTTTATCAAATAATTTTGGCCAATTTAAGAACAAGCCCACAGAACCTTTATTATCTACACAGATGGTTGAAAAATATTGGCTGGAGTGGGATCTGAAGCCCCCTGAAAGGGTTTGGGGACATTAAAACTGAGACGTATTTTAGGCAAAGATGTCGCAGAATTCGCCCTCATCGACACTGAAGACGGCCTCTTTAGTTATTAACACATTCGTATGTATGTATGTATGCATGTACAGGTATGTATGCTGGTAATTAAGCAGCGATAAAAGCAATCAAGGCATATCTCAATGGGCTCAAGATAGTTCTAAGATTCAGGGAAACTTTTTCTATGCATACGGCTGTGTACTATAGGGTTCCAGGCGATAAGGGCAAGTAAATGAAATAGTGGATGAGATTGCCGAAATCGCTGTTTACTTGGAAATCGCAACCTCTGAAAAAATCTACCGAACAATCAGCGAAGTCAAGTAAAGTCAGTTTATCGTCTGCGGATGAGTAAGTTTGTGATTTGCTCTCGGTGTACAAAATCCCTTGATATCACGAGGGACAACCGCTATAATGTCCTGTGTATGAGACGAACAACGAAACCTACCTGATATCATTTGCATATATCTTCTAAGAAAATTTCAGTGAGCTGCCTTTGCTTAAATCCACCTTATTCTCGAACAACTTTTTTTTACTTGCAATATTTTGCAGCTCTCTCGCGTTGTTACGCTCTCGAGTTCGCTCTCTCTCTTTAAAATTTTATTTATTTGGTTTATTGAATGCATTTCCAGTAAAAACTTTTTAACAATTCGTAACATTTTTTTGATATTGAATGGACCTCATATCGACTGCTGAGTGGAAGATTGACCTATCTCGGCAGCCAGGTCGAAAACGCCCTATCTCAAACAACTTTTCAAAAACGTCCTATTTCAGAATTTTATTGAAAGCAGTCGATATGTAAGTATCTAATATTGAATAAATTGAAACAAATTTCAAACACTTTAACGATAAAAATTTTTAAACACAAGGTTTGTTTTTCCCCTGTAAAAACGTCCCTAGGAAATTAAACAAAGAACAAAACTTTCAAAAAGTATTTCCTCACTAGGCCATTGCCCTGTATGCTGTGTACATACATATGTATGTATCTTTATACGTACATATGTACAATGAATGGGGCACATCAGCAGCCAACAAAATTTTTAATTATTATAATTTCACACTCAACACCCTTTTGCAAACGTCAACCTAGTTTCGCAAATACAGAAGGAAGCTCATTGTCCTCGCCATCAAATTAATTAGTGTAATTGCGAGCACAATAGCTCCAAAAGCACCAAAGTCCACACTTGCACTTAAGTATGTATGTATGTACCTCCAGAATACTTACTTACAATTTCATACCATAATCAACTTAAACCACAACAATGAGACAAAAGGATTCTTTCAGCATACAAACAAAATTTTACAGAATGCTCCCAGCTACAACGCTTGATTGCAAATTGCCAGTGGCAAAAATTGTGTAAAAAAACCCCAATCGCTCTAGCGGTGTGGCTATATCTGCATACATACACTACGTATTTAGCTGTACAGGTGTGAATGCAAGTTCCGCGCATATCCTCAGGAGGATGATAGAAACTCAAATAATGACGGGGATAAAAAGTAGCGTCGAGCAGAAAGTTTCTCGCGAAGCAAAAAAAAAAAATCTGAAAATCATGAATACATCGATGCCATGAATTGCTGCGCTGCGCTGCGTTGCGCTGCGACGTGCTGCATAATGTGTGTCGGCATGCTATGGTTAAAGTTGAAGTGCATGAATACAAAGCAGCAAGGATCAACTTTCACCTGGGCGCACTTGTGGTCCCTTTGTTGAAGAAATAAATCTACACCGTTGCCACAGAAGTGTCAGTATGCTTAGTTACAAAAAAAAAAAACATAAGCATCTACGTAATGCATTGACTAGCGAGCATGCAAGCGTGCATGCATACATATGTACTACATACTACCATTTCGTACATACATACCTACCTCATACATATGTATGTATGAATGCATGAACATTAGAGTGCTTCACTACTATAATTTATAGGTCTGCCAAAAACCCACAAAAACCCCGAAAAATGCAATGGGGCGATCGATAAAAAATCGTTAGTATTAAAAAATGGTTAAATATACAATTGGGTATTATTATTGAATGTATCTTGAAAAGATCCAGATCCGATCGTAAAATAATGATTTTCAAGAATTCTACACTATTTCTATGAAAAATTGTATTTTTCTCATATAAAAATACATGGAAAACTTTGAGCGCTTCGAGCGACCTCTAAATATTTTTTGATTTCAAAATAAAAAATAGGGGTATACTTTTTTTTAATATAGAACAATCCTAGGGGGTGAGAGCATTGCAATTCCGACTTTACTGTTTTTGGAACACCCTAATGAACAGATATCACAATGTTCGTTCATTCTGGGTGCAGCTGATACACGTCTTAATTAAATAAAATCGATCGAAATTCGACTAAAATCTATTTTGTCAAATACCATATGACTTTTCTCCTGAAACTCTATAGATTAGCTAAAGCATAGTTTAATTCAGGAAACTAGCCACTGGGTTAGGGCTCCTAAGGCAGCAAGATGGCAAATTTACGTACATACTAGCAATAGTTAACTGAGAGGCTCAACAATACCAGCTGTACTTCGCAGGCTCGATAGAAAAAGAGCGCATGACTCCCTCTTAGAGGGGGAAGTCAGATGGTACTTATCAAGCTTAGGGATGCCAATTTTGGGGGGCGACAACGATGCACTGGATAAATCAACAACGATGCTAAGATAGATAGCCAGAAAAACATATGTATGTAATTTCCAATGTTTTACAATTTTTCAAGTCAAAATTAAACTCTTCGTATAGTCTTCCTATAGTTAGGTGGTTAGGACCCAAGTTTCTAACTTGATTCTGTTGAAATTCTCAGAGCCCATATAATGCATTTGAACGTAGAGGAGTGGGTGGCTGCTCGTTTTAACGGTTTGGTTAGCATTCTCAATACCGGACTCTAAAATTGAAATTTCTCAATCAAAATGCAATCAAAAATTTTTGAGTCACGCTAAATCCGATGAAGCTGGCATCGATGTGTCGCCAAAGTTGCGTTGTTAGAAATTGTAAGCATCGAATTTTGAACCGAAATATAGCTATTTCAATAACATCGACGCATTTTTTGCAGCCATAATCAAGTAGAAGTATTTAGTGGGTAGTAGAAAATTTGAACTATCAGCTATGGCTACAGATTTTTAAGTCTGTCAATATTTATAGAAAGCAAGGAAAATTGCCTTAAAAGAGTGTCCGAAAAAACGCATTTTTGAAATTTTGTGTTCAGAAAAATCCGAGCTATTTATACATATGTATATATGAATGCATACTCAGTGGTCAGCCAAGCATACTCCCCTGTATTTGTTTGTAGTTTCCTTTTTGGTGTACCAACAAAAAGCAACCGGAAATGCAGCAATTCCATACAAACCTTACAATCTGAAGCGTACCACCAACAGTCGATCGAAGTACAAGGCTCACAAGATATGTATGTACGTATGTATTTGTTGACGGCTGTAGTCTACTGTACTATACTGTAGGGCAACAGCAACACAATACTACCAACAGCAGAGAAATGCTACTGGCCGCTGAAAACCAAACAAAAAGTAGTGGAAGATATCAAATGGAAGCAATGAAAAACTCATACATATGTACATACATATATCGAGTATGGGGAAGGAAATGGAGAAAAATTGGCCATAAATAACGCAGCAAATGTCTGACACACTTGCAAAACAAATGTGTAAATCAGGGCTTTAATTGCGTTTGTTGCTGGCTTTAAAAAAAGTCGGTAGTTACTTCTGGCATGGAATGCTAATTAATAGTCGTAGATGAATTTACAAAAAAAAATATAAAAAGCATTGATTGAAGCAGAAAGAGTGTGAACAAATTGTGAGCGTATGTGTATGTATATTAGGAATGTTAATCCCGGGATCCCGGGATATGGGTATAAAATTAATGAGAAAATCCTGTGGAATTTAAACAGATTCAACTTTCTGGTGCAGAAGGGCTGGTAAATATTGAAAATGTCACTTTAAAATTTTATCCTTAAAATTTCGGAATATTTGTTTTTTGAAAAAATTATATGTTAAGGGCTTATATAAACTCGATAACATCCTCGAATTTCGTTCTTCTAACTTTGTCAGCTTACCTATTAGTCCTTGTGAATCCAAAAAATTTAAATTTTAAAGAAATTTGCTATGGCATTTGTTACCCGTATTTTTATTCTACATTGCATTGAATTTTTTAACCCTTTTTGGAATTAATCATATCTCTGAAATTACAAAGCCCTTCAAAATAAATCGTGCGGTCAGAGAAAAAAATATATAAACGCCACTTTAAATAAAAAAGTAGGTTTCAAACCCATTTATTTATTATTTGTTTCATGGTAGGAGAGCTTCTCAAACAATATAGAAGCAATTTTTTCGATTCGAGTTGTTGAAAAGTAATGAATATCTATCTAAATCTCGGGACTAATCCCGGGATCCCGGGATTGTGAAAACGCCATCCCGAAAATCCCGGGATCGGAAAAAGCCGAAAAATTAACATCCCTAATGTATATGTATTTATTTAATTTCATATATCATAAGAAAAATAAACTACATTTATTGAACAGGAAATACAATATTGGTGATATCTTGCGTCTCAATGGTGTTGCAGGGACTGCATTTAAACATAAATTAGTTTCAGTACAGAGGGGAGAAAATCAATTGCTACTTAGTAATATTGAGTGTATTGCGGATCTATATTTTTGGAAACACGGCAGATGATTAACTATATATGAGCTGTTCAGCTCGAGCAGAAAAATAAAATAGTATCTTTTAGACTGTTCCAGTTTCTTCATAACTTTAGAGCTCTATACAGGTCTTACTTAAATACTCTATATGTTCAGCATGATAAAGCATTTCCGACCATTTCGATAGCCTCCTCTTTTGATCCTATCCTCCCTATTGAGAGCCTTCCTCTTGTTTATTTAATACAACTGTAGGAACGCTAAAATGACACATAAAAAGGGGAGACGCGTAAACTTGATTTTGGGTCTAAGGTTAAGCAGGTCATTTTCTCAAGATATTTTAATTTTGAGGTTGCATTGTGGATAAAAAAATTAATACTTAAAGGTCAATACGTTGTAGAAAATAACGATAGAAGTCTGGTTTTTCGCTTATGCTCTTATTAAGTTATTTTCGCTTCCTTTACATTGAGTTCGCGGTAAAAAATAAACAGGGATGTATTTTAAAGAAATTTTGTACTGTTTTGGACAGTTTTTTTTTACCTATTTTCTACAGCATATTAAGGTTTAATAGGGGAGCATTTGCCGAGGGTATCCACCAAAAAAAATTATCAAAAATCAAAATGTTTTTTTTTTCTAACTTTCGCACTCAAAAAAGGAGTTTTTAAATGTTTGAAATTTTGATGAATATCTGTTGAATTATTCTAAATTTTGCGTAAAGTTTGAAAATCGATTCTACATGGTTTCGTTATGGTACATGTTATATTTTTATAAAAAAAGTTTATGAAAGTAAATTTGGATCAATTCTATTCAAGTGGCCTGCACTGTATCTTGACTTTATCGTATTAATCGCAAATGGACTCGTGATGGTCAATACCTCTATATATATTATAATAGGGGAAGCAATATATTAGTTAATGAAAAGAATAGACGTTTAATCAACACGAATGTCAGTGGAGTTATCTAAACCGGATGAAAGTATTTAATTTTTAATTTTTCATAGTTGGGTAAAACATGCTAGGACCTACACACATATATATTTCTTTAGGATTTCTTAGTAAGAATGCCTTTTTTGAAATCTTCATTACTAATATTGATATGTAGATGAATCGAAAAGTATAATTGGTTTGAAGGTATTAACGGATCGTAGTGACATACTTATGACATTGGAGGTTTTAGGCGAAAGTGTTTCTTGCACTCTTCGCGTGTTGATGCAACCCTCAGAACGCTAGTAGGAATAAATAAACCAACCAATAAACTAGTCTTCTGAGGACACGTGCGTAAGGTTTCTGGCAAAATACATTACTTTTTAATTATTTTGAAATTTATTTATTATTTTATTTTTTTAGGCTTTTTCAGATATAACCCTGTCGTCTCAATAGATTAAAAGGGCTTGAATTAAGCTAAACTCTTTTAAACACACTTCAGCTGTAGCCGGTGTTGCCAGATTCTATTTCAGAAAACTGTTATAATTCCTGGAAAAAACTTTAACCTTCAGAAACGAAAAAAAGATTGAAAAAAACTATGGTTTTTTAATTCTATGAAACATAACCGATTCACGTGATTCAGGCAACAATTTTATTTTTCCAAATGCTTCTATACAACTTTGATGAAAGCAAATTCAATTTAAAATCATTATAAACCGCCCTGAATTCGAAATTTGTAAAGAAGAATCACTCTTATAGCGCAGTTGATTCTGATTCATGCATATTTCTTTTTAGTTTATTAGATGAGGGATATTTCTTAAATTAAAATAATACTTGAGTACTCTTTTAAAAATAATTGTTTTATGATAGGAGTATATGATACATATTCATACTTACATGCACACATACATATATGCATACATTAATTTTCATTTATTTTTCTCCATCCCTCCCCCCGCTTTTTTGCAGATGAAGCTTTACAATCGCAATTTCACCGTAGGCGAACGAATCGAATATATGGGATGGGTGAATGAGGGTGTCATCAACAACAACATCTCCTGGCAAAGTTACAAGCCACGCTTTCTAGTACTGAAAGGCACTGAAGTGATGCTTTTTGAAACACCACCGGTAAGTATTTTTTGGAAAAATTAAGAAAAAAACACATTTGAGTAAAAACGCTTTCAAATTGCTAGAGTGGCCTTTTCGAAGTGAATTATGACCTAATCAATTTATGTCAGAGAGAGTTGGCACAAATTGTTTATTGATTTACTGCCTCCACACATTTTTTTGGGAAAAAAGGATTTTTAACAAAAATGTAATATTCAATATATTCCTCGGCAATTGGGTCTGCAAACTGCAACCAAACACATAAAACAACAAAACATTAGCATATGGCTGACACATTTTACTCGATCTGTTATGGACATGCATATGAAAAGGAAATGAATTCCGAATTCCAAAATATGACAGCCAGTGAATCGTTACACACAGCGATTTGCGTGTCCATGGTGGTGGCAAACCCGCCAGCAATAAAAAAAAAAGCTCTCCACGATTTTTTGCACCTGCACTTTGCGCCAAATACTACGTACAGCGGCAACATCAGGTGCTTCCACTAGCGCTGCTATAAAAACTGTTTGCTTTGAACAATAAAAAGCGATAAAAATTTCAGATATGCAAATTTCGTCCCACTAAAAGTAGGCAACACCATGCATAGGCATAGTCCACTTGATGCATCCACTGCCTGCAAGCAATCATGGCATACACTTCCGGGGAATTTGATAACTTCCTATTCTATATGTATGGTTCGTCCGGTGCATGCATGCGTTTGTTTGTTGGCGATTTATTTTTTTCGTTCACTCGCTTCCGGTAAATTTTACAAACGAGTCATGCATAAAACTTCTATTACACAGCAATTACTATTGAATTTTTTGCGCATAAAAGAAACGGCGATTGCAAAATATGTATGCAAATGTTTCTGAAGTCATTGTTAATCAGAATTTAACATTCAAATATGTATACATATTTACATTTTTTGATGCCATCGCACGTTTATTTATTATCAGTTGGTAAAGATAGCATACATACTTTAGCCAGTTTTTTACTCCCTTTTCTTATTCTTCATTTATGCTGATTGAGTCGTACACTCTCACAATTCCTCGAAAATTAGAATAATTTGATGGCAAAATGAATTCTGTCTAATGCCTCGAAACACATATTAGCACGCGGAATAAATTAATATTTCATTCATTTTTTTTTTAGGTAACAACTGCCAATTTATTTATGTATTTTTGTAGGGTTATCCCCCTTTCTTAATCCCTTCGACCCAAATATATTTTAATTCATTCATTCAAAACTTCAAATTCAAATGCACTTTTAAAATTAGGACAAAATAATGCACAGCAGCAAGTAAAATAAGTGCATACAAATTCGTATATCTGTGCATGCATATACATATACATATATATATTTACATTTCTGCTTCCATACATACAGATTTAACTAGAAGCAAGTGCGTGGGCCAACTAATGGGTTTAAGCGGTGTGAGGTTTACTACCTTCTCTCGCATATGCATGTTGAGGGCAAAAAAAACGAATACACATACATATGTATGTACATATGTGCATACCAATGCGCTAACAAGCAACGCATTGCAGTTAATTCCACGCACATCACTCATACGCCACGTAGTAGCAACATGTAAATGCATGATGCTCATTAAAAATGTGCAACAAACTCGACAACAAATTTGAGTTTATATTTTTTTATTTATATTTTGTGTGCATATATATATATATTTATATCTCGCTTATTTACTTCAATAGTGTCATAACTCAAAAAAGCAAAACTCGCGAAAAACGTCCTCAAAGTTTTGAATTTACATACATATACTCCCATAGTAAACATGTATACATATTTTATTCTAGTGCACTACTGTTGATCAATACAGCTTAGAACAAGAAGAAGAAGAAGTATCTTTATATACTTAACTCAATATTTTAATTATTTTTTTTCATTAAAACACTATTGAAGTAAATGAGCGATATGTATGTGTACACAAAATTATGCAACACAAATTATTTAGTAAAGAGCTTTTGGTTGCAAGCCATAGTGTTTTTCTCTAATGTATATTTTTGCTGCTGCACACGCCCCAGCGATAAGCACTGAATTATGTATAAAAACATATAAAATTGTATTGTATATTTTTTAGCATGCTCATGAGTGTCAATTTAAATTTACGCATATACACATACATAATACATAAGTAATTGAAAGCGAATTACTAATTAAAGCATTAAAAAAATAACTAAAAAAAAAGAACATGAAATGTAATTACAACGTTGAAAATCATGCTGACAGACACTATGAGCTGCTACACACAACTAATTGATGAATGGGGCAACAAAAAGGCGAATGAAAGGAATGTAGTATGGAAGTCAGCCTCAGCTTTAGCTTCGCAATAACATTGGGAACCTAGTTCCCTTAGAAAAAGTTCAACAGCGCTTTCGGGGATAAGGAGTGTATGTGCTCAAGAGTTCATGTTGACCATAACCACAGCTTGTATAGATGTCCTTTTAGTTTGCAGTGTCCTGTAAGGTTACCTGTTAGTATTCTAAGCTTCTCTTTCGGATCCCCGGGCATGCACGCGGCTAAAATGGGACCCAAGAAAGCAGCGGGCATTTCTTCTGTGAATTCCAAGACCTTGCAAATATTAAGTAGGAAATACTATATATGTATAAATGAAAACAGCCAGTTACACAAATAGCAGACCTATCAAAAGCCAACATAAGCGATGCTAATAATTCCATCAAGAAATTCAGATTGTTCAACAAAGCACTATAGGATTTAGGAAGTGGATCCAAATGGCCACAAAAAGCGATAATTGTGCCTTAGTCAGCTACAAAGTGTATAAAATCTAAAAAAAACATTGGACTTGCCAAGTTCAAGCAGGTCATTATTAACTATTTCTTACCAATTCATTAACCTTAGTATGACGTCCTTTAAGGTCCACATTCTTAACTCTTATGGAAATCATATACACGTATTGGCTTGCGTTTCAATTATACTAAACTTTTTGTCGGTGTTAAATACTGAATTTTTTGATGTACTTCGTCGACTTTTTTCAACAGTTTTCCATTCGAGGTGAAGAGTATGTTCGACCTCAAAATGACACACTTTTTCAATTTTGTTCGCCCTTTTTTACAATATTTCGAAGTCTGTGGCATATCCATGTGTGGCATTTGATTCAGCGAAATGCGTAGCCTATTTTTTTCCTTCCTACACTATCGAATGTCAATTTCATGTGCTCCACGTAAATGATAACTGTAATTATTTTTTTATTAGCTACCACTCAAGGGGATCACTTATCCAACTATCAAATTGCCTTGGTACTTCTGCGTGTGTTTAAAAAGCGATGTTGAATTATTTACCAGAATACATATGTATGTATGTAAATATCAACTTTCAACACGCGTCGCATTCAGCCCGCCAGCAAAAAGTGCTACCAAAATTCGATCGGTTTTACTTTGCAAAGAAAAATAAATACAAATTTCTATTTTCAATTTAATTCCACGCATTGCGCCACAAAAGCAATACACCTATGCGCAACTGTTGCCTTTGTTAACTTTTTTCTTCATCCTTTGCGGTTATATGTACGTGCTTTTATTTATTTATGCAGTGTGTAGTGTGTACTTTTTCGATATTTCGTTGTAATGGCATTTCACAGCACGCCATGACACGCGTATTTACATATCGGTGAATGGCCTTTGTCGCGACAGAAACATCAACATCAACACCAATCACACCTTACGGCTTCTGTGTGCGTTTACATACATACTCGTAGATGCGGTTGCTATTGTCGGTACCACACTTTCGTGGTAGCTACATGTGTACAACCTGTCACTTGAGTGCTATTGATGCTGCCTGCATACGTGGCGCCAGTGCAGCAGGTTAAGTGCGTATTTTTAACATCTGCCCTTACCGAAAACCTCGTTACAAAATATGTGGCATTGTGGATACACGAGTACACACATGTTCTGACTTGCAAGTAGAGCATTTTCATGTCATATCAGCTGTGAGACAGTTTTAATGACTTCAGCATTGTACGTCACATCACATTTTCTTTCTTTATTTTTAATATAATATTTTTCCCTCATCATTCATTCACTTTGCTTCGATTACATGATCCTACCGTTTATGTCACGCCACTATCAGACGCTGTTGGTTGTGACATCACTCTTACAAAATCTTATTGTAAATTTATTGGGACCATTATTTTCACTACTGTCAATAATAATCTTTGTCGCATTTGTGATTGCTTTTCTATGCTTACGGCAATATCGTAAGACTTCGGCTATTGTCAAGCAATTTTGAGGAATTTATTTTTCAACAAATGTCTTGCTTTCTTCAGACTTCGCTGCCCAAACTCGTGTTAAATATTTCTTAGAGAATTCATGAATTTTTAATTTATCCATTTTTCGTCGCCTCAAGTCAGCCAAAAAATATTTTACAAAGTGAACCTCAATCATCCTTACCGCGGCATCTACTCAAGCTTACGAACATATCAATGTGATAGTTATTGATTGTGTCTTGTCTACGGTTATTATATGCTTATCAATCATATTGGATTTACAGCGCCAAATACCCAGAAAATAGGTTAAATGCTGACGTCATCGCTACCTACTTACATACTCTTTTGAGATACTCGATTTAATATGTAATTTGTTGGTGTTTTCTAGTATTAAATGTGTAAGTAAGTAAGCTGTGGTGTAGTGGTAAGCAGTGCGCAATACCAATCCGCAGCGCCTGAGATCGAGCCCAGCTTCCGACTAACATCAAAAACAAAAAGTTTTTTTATCATAGGAGTCGCCCCTCGGCGGGCAATGGCAAACCTCGAGTGCATGTGTGCTTTGAAAAACAGCTTCTCATTTCGTTCTTGTGTTGTAGTTTCCTGGCTTGGTTCAAATTCTACGGGACCAGTATAATGTTAAAAAAAAAAAACTAGCAATCTGCGAGGGTATTATGAAAATGTCCTGCGGATGTGCTCCTTGTTGCAACAAACCTATTCCCTGTAGATCCTCACATACGGTACACTAAAACAAGGAAGGTTAATAATTATAAGCGACCAGCAA